CCATCAAGAGACCTCTGTGAATAAACTAGGCTGTGGCTCAAAGAAGATCCTGTGGAAACATAGACACTTGTCACCTCCATTTCCTAAATTTCTTGTTGGAGGTCACAGAATCTTCTAGTACAAACTAGTACTGGTACTTAATATTTAGTGGTGATTCTGTAGGCGGGTTCTTCACTGTTTTTTTAAACCCTGCTTCTAGCAGAAACCAGTGATTGTATTGTAAACTTTTATTCAGACCTGTCAATACTGAAACAGTTTGTGGCAGAATGCCTCAATGAAACATTTGCCCACATTGCTTTGGGGGTAGCCTTGAGATGTCCTATTAGCCGAGCTTCCCTGCACCAGAATATACCTGAGATACAAAGATAAATACTGATCTTTTCCTTCAGCCTCCATGCACTGAACAGTCAAGGCCATCCTGAAAATGTCTAAGGCAGCAGACAAATATGGAAACATTTCCCACAATTTTCTGAAACAGAAATGTTTTCCTTTATTTTGTGTGAAATGTTCCAAGTAGGCTACCATGGTTTCATTTTGTAAAATGTTGGAATTGGGTTTTATGTGCAGAATCAGCAGTGCATAATTTTTTTTACTGACGTGTTGATAAAAATCTGAGGCCTTGTGCCAAAAATGGCACAGCAAAACAGGCACAAGAAGGCTTTTGTAATAGAATAGGTTGCAAACTAGCAAATCACCAACTCCAAAATAAATATGCAGGTATACAAATGGTAGCCATGCCTTGGTGCTTGCAGCTTTGTGATTTCTTTTTACTCCAAGCACCTCTGGGATTCTGTTGAAATATGCCAGGACAAAAAAGTTGCTTTAGCACCAAATTTTTAAACTTTCCATATTTCTGTTATGGATAATCCTATCTGAGAATTATTTGTTACAGTATATGTGATATAACAGAACCATATTTAATATTTCAGATTTATGGAGCAGATGCTGTCTACATAGGTTTTGGTGGAAACGAGTGGCTACCCAACTCTTTGCTGGGAATTGATCTTCCACAAAAATTGTGCCAAAGTTGATCTTAGTTCACTTTTTTTCTCTCAGAAAACCTTATACATTTGAGAGGAAGGGTAGCATACAGGGACATAAGGCACAGGCATCCTAGTTTTGCTTAAGATTAATGTGTTTGTGTCAGAGGCCACATTACAACTGGGGATCATTCTTCTCCTAATTGATCAAGTATGGTAGCATTTAAAAGTTGTGGGTGGGGTAATTTGTGGACAAATTATATGCAAATACCTGTTGATGAAGCCCCTATATTTTATTCATAGTCTTCTCTTGTTATTTACTATGATAGTAAAGTTGAATTGTGTATAGTCTCTATCAATATTCTTTGATATAGGGGTGAGGTAGAGGTCTGCAAAAGCGATAATCAGCTCAAAGTGAAGTTTTTTAGTATAGGACAGCAGCGCCAGATCTCTATTTGTTCATCAGTTATATTAGATAGCTGTGACTTATTCAATACTGTCTTCATGCCTGTTCTTTCCCATAGCATGGTTGGGAATAAAATTAAAAGAGTAACCATCTGAACACACTAAAAACAATGTTAATAGATATTGCTGCCATAAGTAAAAGGAGAGTGGAGATTAAAATGTTTCTGAGCAGAAACTAAAGAATTTCAGATATACAATGTTAACTCTCCATCAATGCTCATCTTAACTGATTAGCCTAACGTGGGGTGGAAAGGAACCATAGCTGTTTTTTTGTCCCAAAGAATAGAAGAAAAAAAATATCAATTTATTTATTTATTTATTCATTCATTCATTCATTTTCCAATTATATCAATCATAATCTATTTAAATTATTTTAATTTAAATTATTTTAATGCATATTTCAATGCCATGCTGACCACTTAAGTATAAAATGTAATCAAAAAAGATCAATTTAAAATGTAAAATTCGGAGACTTCCGGTGGATTTTGCGTGCGTGATGGCGGCTACTTTGTAGCCGTCCTCCTGGGTAAGTGTAAGAACCGCTATGAACAGCAGACACCAGCTGTTCAGCGGTTCAAAATCCCCCTCCCGGGCAAAGGGGGGGGGTAGAGAGTGTCTGAATAGTGGTAGAGCCTCTTTCGCACCCCCCAAGTTTTTTTTTTGGGGGGGTGAAAGGAGTGCTCCCACGGAGTTCAGACTTGTCTCCGCTTCCCAGCTGTTTTTGTCCTTAGGGACAAAACGAGCCGCTGCAAACACCTCCGTGCTTAAAGAGAACTGGTGAGTTTTTTTTTTTAAATGGACAGAGCTGAGTAGAGGATTTAGTTTTTGCTTTCTTTGACTTATTTGGATTTTAAGTTTTAAGATTTGTTTCTATTTTTATTCTCTCTTTTTATTTTTTTTCTTTGTTGAAAGGGAAAGTAAAATGGCGATCGGCAAACTCCTCGGTGTTTTTTTTTCTGGAAGTTAGAATGCTGACCGGCAGGCTTTTTGGTGTTTTTCTTTCTTTCCTTTCCCTTTCTCTTTTTATTTCCTTATGATTGGAATGGTTGTTTTTGGTATCTCTAAGTATTTTTTTTGGAACGGACTTTTTTTATTTAATTATTATTTTTTTTTTTCTTCTCCCTTTTTTTTTCCTTTGAACTCCCTTTTTTTTTATTGTAATGACCCTTTTTTGAAGGACTTTTTTTTTGTTTAATTTTTTGTAATTTTTAAGAAGGAGTAAAACTTTTTTTTAATTCTTTTTCTCTTCCTTTTTTTCCCTTTTTTCTTTTTATTATAATGACCTTCTTTGGAGGGAGTTATGATTTTTGAAGGAATTTTTATAATTTCTTAAGAAGGACTAAAGGTTTTTCTTTAAGATGGCTCCAAAGCGTCCAGGGATTTCTACAGCTTCTAAATCAACAGTTTCACCCTCTTCTGGGGGTCAGCTAATAACTATGAAGGACTTGCAAGACATGATGGGAGATGTTATAATTCAAATTAGGGCAGAAATGAAAAAGATTTTAGAGGAAAACAATAAGATCTTGAGACAAGATTTTGTTTTGGCTTTAGAAGGTGTTGCTTCTGTTCTTGAAAAGGTGAACTCCCATGTGGAAGAGGTAGCTGAAAAAGTGGACATAATGGAGGGGAAAATTGAAAGTATGGAAAAAGAAATGGAAAATGAGATTCTTATGCTTCAATATGGACAAATGGAATATGCCTTAAGAATTAGAGGCCTGGGAGAGTCTTTGCAAGGAGATCTGAAGGAGATGGTTGCAAAGGACTTTGCATTGATTTTGAATAAAGAAAAAGAGGGAATACTTAATGAAATTGAAAAATTATTTAGGGTTAACTCTGTGGTGGCAGCACAGAAGAATCTGCCAAGAGATGTGGTAATTTACTTTGGTAAAAGATCTTTACGCAATGAAATTGTGCAAGCCTATTATAAGAAGAGATTTCAAATTGCTTCACAAGATGTTATAATTTTTAAAGAGATCCCATCTAAAATTTTAAGAAGAAGAAAGGAGTTTGCTTTTTTAGCAAATGAACTTAAAAAGAGAAAAATTTCATTCAGATGGGATGTTCCGATTGGAATGGTGGTGAATTACCTGGGGACATGTTATAGACTTAATACTGTTTTTCAAGCAAAAGATTTTTATACTTCGGTCCTGGGGGTATGTGCATCGCCATCAATTAAGTTTAAAGCTTTGGAAGAAAAGAATGTAGAATCACAGTTTGAAGAGCCTATATTTATGAAAACTGGAGAATCTTTGTGTGAGAGGCCTCAACAAGTCCAGGTTGAGGAGCAGAAGACAACTTGTGCAGTATATAATCCCAAAGAAAAGCAGCAACAGAAGAAGGTTAAGGAAGTTTCATATTTAGTGGTTTCTGAATCTCTGGGAGATGTTAGACCTACAAAGTCTTTGGAGCAATCTTTAAGGGTGGAATTGTTGCCTGAAATGGAAACTGGGAAATCTCAGTCTGAGGGGCATCAACAAGAGAGGAATGGGCAGAGGATAACTTGTACAACTTACAATTGTAAAGATCAATACAAGGAGGAATTTAAGGAACCCTTATTGGCTTCGGAGTCGATGGGAGATTCAGGAATTTTGGAGCAGTCTCCTAAGGCAGAACTTGCAGCATTTCTTACGAGTTTGATACAAGAATGGAGAAGGGAAATGGAAGAATGGAAGAATGGAGAATGGAAAAAACTGGAATGTGAATAATTAATAATACTAATATAATTGAGATTGATAAGGATGTAGTTTTTTATGGATGGAATTAGTTATTGGTGAAGATTGAAATGTTTAATGTGTTTATTAACTTTGTTGTTTTAAGTTTTGAACCTTTAATGATAATATTGTTTAAATTTGTGTTTTGAAGGGATTATAATTTGCTTATTTTAGTGAGTGGATTCTAATGTTTTAAATTTTAAAAATTTGTGGTTTTGGAGGGAGTTTATATAGAGTGATGATTGTATTTAGATTTGTTTAGGATTTAAAAGTGTTTTTAGTTTTTAAATATTATTATTAATATTTTTAAGACAAAATAATTTGTTTAATTAAATGTGCTTAGATTTGTTTAGGACTTATAGGTTTTTTAAGTTTTTGTTTTTTTTTTTTTTTTCTTTTTGGATAGGAGAGAAGATTATGAAGATTGAAGGAAATATGTACTTACTTTAAGTTCTTTAAGAGTATTTAGCTTTAATGGTATAACAAAGATTTGTATGTTTATTTTTTCGTTTTAGGATAAAGAAAGAGGGAGAAATTAGATTTTATATTATAGATATAGATATTCAAAGAAAGTAATGTTTAAATTTGTGTTTTTGGAGGGAGCTTATATAGAATGATGATTGTATTTAAATTTGTTTAGGTTTTAAAAGTGTTTTAAGTTTTTTTTTTTTTTTAATTAAGCCTGTACTCAGCTCTGGGAAGTCCAGGGGAGGGTTTGGGAGCTTGGGAAGGGGGGGGGTGAGGTAGGGGGGGGTATGGGAAGGGGATTTGTTTTTGTAAAATGTAAAAATTTTCAATAAAAAAAAAAAAAAAAAAAAAAAAAAAATGTAAAATTCAACAGACCATAAAGAAACAAACAAAACCAAATCAACTAACCAACCATAAAAATAACAAACAAAAGAAACCAAAAAGGGAACATAAAGGATAGCACTAATTTCTATATATTTTTTTCAAGAGCAAGCTTCCTTTTCTTAACAATAATCTTGTGAGGTGGACTAAGAACTAGTGACACATGATCATTTAAGGGATTTAGTAAAGATCTATTTCTGGTATTTTATCCTGCATACAACTGAAGCACACTTTAAAGTTTTAACTCAGACTTTGGTGAGTTTCCAGAATGATGAAATGTCATAATTGGAATTCATTATTGATTTATTAAGTGTATATCTTACCTTTCAATTACACATAGAACTAAAAGTTAACAGAGATATATGTGGGCCAAACAAGCTTTGAAATGGAAGAAGCGTTTTGGATTTGATACAAGCAGAAGGATGGAAGCTCTTTGCTCTTCGTTATAGCAATCACTTCTTTTTTATAAGCTTCCATATAGAAGCCTGAATAAAATTATGACTGCTTTAATTAGTTGCAGAAGAGTGCTGTGTTCCTGGATGGATAATTTATTACATTTATATTCCAAGATTCTTCAAGGATCTCAGAGCCAGGTATCCATTTTTCTACACCCCCCCCCCACACACACTATATGATCTTTAAAACTGTTTTTAATATGTTAGGCCAAGAGAAGATAACTATTATAATGTCATTCAGTCAGTTTCATAAGAATATAAGCATTTGATCCTGAGTCTTCCTAGTCTTAATCTGACATTAATCCTATCTGACTATATCCAATTCAAACAATATCATGGGAACAATAAATGAGATATTTTGCCCTGCAGTTTCAAGGGAGAGTGGGAATAATATTTATTGCTGAGAAACTAAAGGAATTGTTTTCCCATAGTAAACAATTCCTTGGAATAGGTGACCCATTGTGAAAAATTATGGCTATTCTGACAAACAAGCTGCTACAAGGACTATCATGCTTAATCCTAAAATGGCTGCCAAGGTGGGCCTAGCTAATCACAAAACAGCCATTTATTGGAAGGTAATGTTACTACTTCTTCTGAGGGTTTGTTTTATTTAGTACTATTTTTTCTTTGGATCACAGGCTCATTTTGAAACTGAATACTGGAGAGAGCCCTCCATCCTTTGTATTTTGGCAAGAAAGTCTTGGGGCCTCTGTAGCGCCAAATAAAGATGATATCCCATGCTGAATGCTTTTCTCCCTGCAGCCAGAAAATAACCAAATCAGTGACTTACTCTCCTATACTATTTTCAGTTTGGAAGTATTTGTCTTGGGATGGGGGATGAGAATTAAAGAATGTGTAAAAAGGAGAAAAATATATAGAGAGAATTATCTGAAGCCTTCTAGATCAATAACTGTCATGACAAGGAGACCTTTGTTAATATGATGCATTACTTGTAGTAGTAGAAAACTGATATGAAGTGATATCCATGATATGAAGATTTTTCTGTTCATTGAATTTGTTTTCATTTTTTTAATGTTTAGCTGGTTTCAGATAGTAGTTGCTATCTAATTCGAAGTCTAACAAAGCACAGTCCCATAATGACTATGAAAAGGCTGGACTACTTTTATTATGATAAATTAATCAATCAATAGAGTGATTCATCTTTATGTAGAAGAATGTACTATTATGGTTGATGGCATGAAGTAAAGGATATTACATTGGGACTGTTTGATTTAAACACATATTTTATACTACTCTATTTGAGAACTGAAGCAGTGCTGCATATTTCAGACATATTTGCATTTTCTTCTCTATTCCTTTAATTTCTCTTCAATACTATATCCTAAAAAGAAAATGCCTTAATAATCAGGTTTATTAAAATAAACTTGCTGCATGGCAAATTTTGTCAGTCTTATTTGCTATTTATTATTTGGATTCAGAGGTAATGGAGGGGAAATTTAAAAATAGAACAGTGGCAGCATTTTGTTACAGACAAATCATTTGTAGAATTCTTTACACATAATGAGTACTTCTACCAAAAACCTTCATTTTTAATTTTACAGGTGAAATGCTGTGTGAGTCTACCAGTTTTCATTTCTATGGGGGAAAAGTCAGAAAGGGAAACCCTGTTCATTATTAAATTAGGGTTGCTAATAGTGATAGTGTTATTATGTTGACCCAAACATTTTGTAATTTTTTTGCATTTTTTGCCTGTGCAAAAATATTTTCTCTAATTTTTCAGTCACTGAGAGTGAGTGGGTAGGCAGCCATACAAATTTTCTTAAATAAATAAATACAAGAAGGTATCTGTTACGTATATTTAAACAGCCAGGGTTCTGGGTAGGGGCATAGAATTTCAATTTTAGTATCTGCCCTCCAATAAAAAATGAATACAGTGCTTTATTAAAAATAGGATGCTTGAAATAAGACTATCCTCAGTAAATAAGAAAAAATAAAAAATATGACAGTGGATAAAAAGATAGCCATACGACAAATTTCAGTAAGAAGCCCAGAGTTGCTAAATCTAAAAGAATTATTAATTGCCCTGAGACTAGTAAACATTTGGTTTTTTAAAAATAATAAGACTTTTGTGCATTTGGAGTTTACCCTAATAAATCCTCAACCCTTTTCTGAAGCATATTGGTAATAATAATGATAACAATGCCTGCATCACTGAAAAATCTGTTACTGTCAGGTATATTCAGGTGAAAAGAACTTTCAGCTTAAAATATACAATTAGTATGACTTTTTCAAATGCTTCCACCAGTTTAGTTTCCACCCATTCTCCCTTGTTGGATTTCTATTCTGAAGATATCTATTTGGTTTGGATCACTATGCCGGTTTTTTACATTTTCACCCATACCCCAAAACTGGCATTGGTCTCGGATGGTTCACTTGTTCCCTTTTTGTCCCTCTGTATTGGTGACAAGAGCCTGAAATCTTAGATGCCCTAGACAAGAGAAAAATAATTTTAACAAAGCAATTCATGAATGGAAATATTGTACACAGTCTGCTATTCCAGCTGAGAGCCAAAGAAGAAAATAAGCAAAATGTTAACCTTCGGACATCAAATGGTTTATGCAGAGTCTAGCTGTAGAGTTTTCCTGTGAGCAGGTATCTGAAACGTTGAGGTTGAAATTCTATACTAATCTGTCCTCTTGTTGTTTGGATGGTGGTTTCTTTTCTACATACATTCAGTGGAGGACACCATCAGAACAAGTCTGTGTTTGTAGTTCCCCAGAAATGGTATTAGAGTCAAATGATTCTTGGCTAAATCATGACAACTATAGAAACAATAGAAATATTAAGCACCAAATTTTCACCAGAAACACATCAGTAATGAGTTATTTCCATACAGAGATTCAATCCTCCATTTTCATTTTTTTTGTTTTCCTCTTTTCCTTAGAAAATAGAAAAACATAAACAAACCAGAGAATGCCATAAGATCACTTTAAGGCTCACACAAAAACAAGCTGCATCATTGCAAATTCAATTCATATATCCATCTTTGTAGCCTTAAAATGATGCCTGTAGTCAGAAGCCCAATTTCCAATCAAAGCATGTTCCTTTAAATGGACTTTCTTTTTGCTACTATGCTGAGTTTTATTAAGACTGAAAATGATTGGGAGAGGGGAGGAGAGAAATTGTTATGGAATTTTTAAATACTTTATAAATTCCTTCAAATACTACTTCTTTTCTCTCATGCTTGTTTTTGGTACAATTTAAAATTAAAGGTAATCTAAAAGGTGTTCCAAGAAATCAAATAGACCAGTTATGCTTTAAAGTTTAAAGATACCAATGACAATTGCATTAAAAACCAATGAAATAACTTGATTTTGGAGACTTGCACCTTGGTTCAACTTTTTCAGATAAGAAGATAGGTAAATGGATATAATGCTTTCCCTATTCAATTCAATGTAAATAAGCAGCTTTGCGCATGAACTTTTTAAAACATCTCCCATTTCAATGAACTGGGCAGACTCTATGCCAGAAGGGATATTTTTGTGCTTCTGAACCATGCTAATTGTTGGGTCATTGTACAACAGATGCAAGTCAAAATCTGGGTTTTCATTGCTTTTTGGGGGGGGAAAGAGGATTATACCCTGAGATTCAAGCTTAATATAGTGAATCATAAAGAATCACCCCCTTTTTTCTGTAGCAGGGATGTAGTTAATGCACAGTCTCATTCAAAGTGGCATGAGGAAGTGGAACTTAAATATATCAAATTAAAGTAACTTTTACGCCAGTCAAAACACAGCCATGAACCCTCTTCAAACTTAGTTTGGCATTTCCTTCACTAGGGGGTGGAAGGGTAATCATTTTCACCTGTATTGTGCCAATCTAACTAAACCAATGGCATTTCCTTTTTACCTGATTCTTTTGTACAATTTCTTATTATGTATAAACACATACACACAGCTATGTGTGTGTGTGTCACTATATCTAGCTATTTATTTATATGTCATTAAAATAATCAAACATTTTGCATGAGGAAGATGACAGTACATAATGAAACTCAGCACCTAAGGGCATAAGGCAGTTGTAGGTTTTTTGTTTGTTTGTTTTATTTTTTATTATTAGTATTATTATTTTCAATCAGCACCAATCCCTATATTAATGTCCTACACTTGGTGTAAGATATAAAACTCAGAGGTGAAGTAATTAATTTTTCTCCAACCTCTGAATCGTGGAAGTTTGCAATACTGGTTGGTTTGTGTTGTTGTTCTTGTTTTCTCCTGTGTGTAAAAAACAAAAGAAAACCTTTCCATTTCGTTTTTACTTATAAAACATAGAGGATCTCTCTTTCCTTTAAATACATACAGCAACCAGAAAGAAAACTTATTGGAAGGTTATTTCAGAACTGTCTTGACCATAAACAGTTAACCCACGTCTCCCCCCCCACCCATGAAATCCCTCTTTTAATAGGTGGGTGTTTATTTGCAATAGTGTGCATGTCTCTGTGTATCTGTTTGTGTGTGTTTTGTGTGTGTGTGTGTGTGTGTGTGTAGGGGCATTTGCATTTAAAGGAGCTTTTAAAGTGAAGATTCATACTGTAGCAATTCATACAAGAGAGGTCCATCTCTATACCTAATGCCTACAGCGGTGGGGGTGACATACTGGAGAATGTTTATAGTCCTTCTCAACCTTCGGTCTACAAAATGAGCATCCCAAGCTGGGTATCTCTTTCTTGGGATGTCTATCTTAATGAGAGGGCCTTCTGGGTGGAATGGTCTCCCAGACGGAGTTGATGGCACCATAGCTCTCACTTGGAAAACTGGTAAGCATGTGTCAGCTGTGAGTTCCTCCTGTTGCTCCGTGGCCGCTCTGGGAGGCGTAGCCTGGGCCACCCTATACCCAGGGGTTTGAGGAGCCATGGGTTCAATGTCAGGGGGCAAAGGAATGCCCCAGAGCAGCTCGGCGCAACAGGAGCTGGCAAAAATCTTAGCTCTCGGCCCCATGGGATGCAGGATGCCGTAATATAAGAGCATCAGTGCTATCCCAGCAGCAAAGCTAAGAAAGACACAACAAAGCGCTGGCACAGCATATGAGTCAGTAGTGTCGGGATCTCTGTAACAATACCAAAGGAGCGTCAAGGCAGCATTCTCTGTCAAGACTATGGTGTAATAGGCAAACATTCGGTATCGGGTCCGCCCTTCCTTGACATTAAACCAGCAAAAAATGTACACAATCCCTACCACCATGTTGAAGAGAATCTCTTCCCATTTAGACATGCAGAAATCTGTCCCACCATGGATGATCCAGAAGGCCATGGCGCACCAGTGGACCACGACAAAGATCCCAAAATAGAGCTGGAAGATGGAAGCAAAGAGGGCAAAAGAGATAACTCTGGATGAGATGGTGAAGAGACGCCAGAAGAGATGGATAAGGGCTCCTCTATAACTCATGCTCTTCTTATCATCCCTAGAGTCCCGGAGAAGCTTGTGATAGGAGGCTAGCACCCAAGCCAGGGACATCAGGGAGGCCACAGAGGATACACCTGCCGGGAGAACACACACAAATCCACAGAGTTAAACTGGAGACACAGGAGAAAGGACGCAGTTGCTTACATCATCCTCTTGAGGGGCAGGTGTGAAACATGATTATAATGTGAGTCAGGTTAGCGAAAAAGATCTAGAAGAGGAAGAGAGAGAGAGAGAGAGAGAGAAAGAGAAAGAAAGAGAGACAAATAAGCATAAACATGATCCCACCTGTAATAAATACTGACTACCATTTGCATAATTTTATCACCTACAGAAACAGCAACTATAATTTACATGCAGTTATGGTTTATGATGATGGATCTCATTGCCTATCAATAAAAGGACTTAATTCTTAAATTGCTAATAGCCTCTCTGTAAGCAGGTAATGAATAAAAGAATAACAGAGTTGGACGGGACCTTGGAGGTCTTCTAGCACAATCCCCCTGCTCAGGCAGGAGACCCTATACCATTCCCCACGTGGCTGTCCATAAAAGCCTCCATTGATGGAGCATCCACAACCTCTGAAGGCAACTCGTTCCATTGATTAGGAAATTTCTTCTTAGTTGTAGGTTGCTTCTCTTTTTGATTAGTTTCCATCCATTGTTTCTTCTTTTGCCTTCTGGTGCTTTGGAAAATAGGTTGACCCCCTTATATTTGTGGCAACCCCTCAAATATGGAACACTGCTATGATGTCACCCCCCAATCTTTGTTTTCACTAGACTTAACACAACTTATCAGCACTCTTTCCAGAGTCACTGATAAGTTGACCAAAACTGAATGCAGTATTCTTGAATGCAGTATTCTAAGGGTGGTCTTACTAAGGTTTTATAAAGCAGTACTAATACTTCACGTGATTTTCTATCCCTCTGTTTCTGATGGCTTTTTTGGATGCTGCTGCACACTGCTGGTTCATATTTAAGTGATTGTCCACTAGACTCCAAGATCCCTCTCACAATTACTGCTTTTGAGCCAGGTTTCACCTAATCTGCACCTGTACATTTGATTTTCCTTGCCTAAATGTAAAACCTTGCTTTTCTCTACATTGAATTTCATTTTGTTAGATAATGGCCTAAGTGACTATGATTTCTAATTTCATGAATTAAAGTTGTCCAGAAAAAAAAGTGAATTGTGAACTTTTTCCACTCTTATTTCAAATCCTGCCATTGAGGGACACTCATTGAAGTCATCTGTGCACAAAATAGGCCCAAGATCTTCTGTGTGTTCTGTCATTACATGTGCTCTCAGATAGGTGTCTCAGCTTAGTTTATATTCTGATTCATGATTGGTAAGAAATTTTTGAAAGTGGCACTAGTGTAGTTTTGTCCACTAGCCACAGGTTACAATAGTTTATTTTAAAAGGGAATTAGAGAATCATGAAAATATACAAGTGCTATTCTATTGTGATCTCTCCACAACAAAGTGGGTAAATTTCAGAATTTAGGTCATTAATTTATTCAGTTTAATGCTCTGCTGCTGAGTTATCGCCTTTTAACAACAAGCTTATAGTTGGTCTCTTAAAGATAACTGATCCTGACCTCTCCACTTCTTTTCCCTATCTCTACAGTCTAGCCTGTCTTTTACAGGTATCATCCTGCATATGGACTATAACACTTGATTGGGAAGTCAGGACATGTGGCTATAAAGGCAGGACCCCAGTCAATCCTGCTCAGCTGCCTTTGGTCTGTATAGCAGATCACCTTGCTTCTGAAGATGCCAGCCAAAGATGCCTAACAACAGTATATTACCTTCCTATCATTCACTGGAGGAGCATCTTTAGTTGGGGGCAGGTGTCAAAAAATCAAAATGGCAATTGTGATGATGCGAGTGAAGCCCCACTCTCTTTTCAGGTGCCATCTTAACACTTTCATCTCCTCTCTGAAAATGCCTTGGTCCACTGAGTGTTTCTGGAGGTTATTAAGGAAGATTAAACTCCTGCTGAGTTAATTCTCTCCAAACAGTGGATAAAGCAGAAATAAAGACCCTAAGAGCTCTTAAGATGTCTTAGGGGTAAGGACACTAGAATGCTTCAAAGCTTATGACATGATCCCATATGAGATAATAGTATTGTTTCTCCAGTTTAGAACAATAACAAGAAATTGAAACAGCAGATAAACATGTCCTCCTAGTATATGCTTGTGTTGTGTGTGTATATATATCTCTGTGTGTATCTGAGAAAGAGAAGAGAGAGAAGGAGAGAAAGAAAACAAACAATTGCATTCTATGCTTGCTGGCACTATCTAGACCAGTACTTCTCAGACTTGGCAACTTTAAGATGTGTCAACTTCAGCTCCCAGAATTACCCAGGCAGCACTGCTTGGGGAATTCTGAGAGTTGAGGTCCACACATCTTAAACTTATCAAATTTGAGAAATAGTGATCTAAATTCAGAAAACTGAAAAACATTTAATTAGATATCCATTGCAAAAAGTGAAAAATTAGAAATTGTCAGAGATTTCTTTTCTGCCTAAATCAAAGGCCTCAGGGTCTGTGGCTAGAAGCTAGCTTAGCTCACAGTTCTTTAGAGTTTGTGAATTCTCCAAGTCCTTTTAAAACATAGTGAAAAAATAGTTGCGCCACATCAGCAGTTATTTCGGAATCAGAATTTTCCATGAGTTTGTAGAAGAAAGTCCAGGATTAACGGAATGGGGCTAAATCCTGTTCTTTGCCAAGACTTAATTTATAAACAAAATCATGGGAATGGGATGTGTTATACTAGAAGAAGTGAATTGCTGAGTTTCCATTCCTTCAGAGTTAATCAAAGGCTGAAGCTAAGGACAGGGTGTTAGAATATTTTATATTCTCTTTTTAATACTTTTCTTCTCTTTCTTCTTCTCTTCTGCCTCCTGTCCTCCCTCCCTCCTTTTCCCTCATCTCTTTATCCAGCAAGTACGGGACTGCTCTTGCCAGGGGACTGAACTGATTACTTATCTATGCCAAGGCAAACTATGGGCAAGAGAGATAGTGCTTTACCAGTCATTATTAATGGCCAACATTTACTACACATTTTTCTTTCTCATTGTACTGTATCTGGTTAGAATTCTTCCGATTCTATTTACTTTATACTATTACCTTCTTCTAAATTTATATACAATAATTTATGTGCAAAAGAAAATTCCATTGTTGAAATGGCACTATTATTGTTAAATCACTTTGACTATGGTTTTCTAGGAACTTTTCCAAGAAGGAAACATATGATTTTCCTTCTTGGAAAATCAATATGTAGTAATAAAAAAGCAAATGCTAGACACCTAACTTCCTCTCTAATGTTTCACAAGGATATTCACTGCAAGGCAGGCAGGGGAAAGTAGACTGAGATTCTGCAAAAGCAGGAATGGAAGCCTTCTCATAGACCTTCTTAGGAAATGCCTTTTAGCTTTCAGAAATTCTGTGCTATACCTTCTTTAATCTTAAGGAAGTACAGGGTTGGGGGAATTGTGGAGTTCTTGGTGCTTTCTGAGCTTGTTTGCTAGCAGACATTTCATTACCCAACTACTAACCATCAGGGCCATGCACCAATGATGTTTTCTAGTTGGATAATGAAATGTCTGCAAGCAATCAACCAAGTTCAGAGAGCACCAAGGACTCCACAATTCTACCCTAAAGAACAGATATTCTTTTCAGTTGGGGGAATTGCCCTTGATTAATGTGAAGGGGCATATCAACCACTAAATCTTCCACCTGGGTGAGAAATTCAAACATGTGCCAAACTGTTCCAAAATGAGGAGCACCAGTCACATCACTTACATGGTAAAGCTTCTGCACGGTTCTTCTGGATCATTATGCAGAGTTGTAGCACCAATTGTGGGGCGCTCTCGAGAAAAGTCTCTAAGAGGCGCAGCATGTTGACATCTGCATACTCATACATCATAGCCCAGTAAAAGCGCCGCTGGTGTTCCTTTTGCCTCTGGCTTTGGATCCCCAGATACATGGTTCGGATATATCTGGAGACAGGAGGAAAGTATGGACAAAATATGAAGTGGTGAGAGGATCAGGTGAAAGGTAATTCCTTCATCCATATCAGTTCATTGTCTCTCCCCCTAGCCCCCATGTTTTCCATTTAGGTTTATCATTCTTCTAAACTGTACAGTCAGAGATATTACTTCTTTGCTCTATGTACTGAATTTTCTTACATTTTCTTAAATGAAAACATTTAGCATAGTTCGTTGTTTGGGGAGGATGCAGGTAATGTATTGCAACAAAGAATCAATTTGAAGCAGTATTTCTTGTTCTCCAGTGATCAGAATGGAGTTCCTTCTCTAAAATGGAAAAAAATATAAATACTTTTTTAATATGGGGAATAATTCTTATAGGTCAATTAAAGAGGAACAGTTGCTTATTTTATCAAAATCTTTCAAACTGACTGTCATACTGTAGTAATAATGAGGGCAAATCTACATAGTCTTACTTGAAGTAAGTCATCTAACTGGAGCATTTTTGGGTATACATACATATAAGACTGTACTATGAATATTGTTGGCTGACTTATATACATAGTCAGATTAGCACTATAGCATTTTCATCTATTTAATATGTCTGGCAATTACACCTCAGTATCATCAAATTCATTTCTTTCTTACAACTTGATTGATTTCAAGTACTTGCAATCCTGTTGTCAGCATCCAAAGCAATATTCTTAAAAAAATTCTCCAACACTAAAGTTCAAACACATTGATAATGCTCAGTGTAGTGGCCTAAACAAATGGATTGTTTAATTCATTCAAGGTTAATGGTGTCATCATTTTCTTAGGAGATGGCAGTAACTCCATAAATCATGCATAAATTAAGAATGGAAAAATGTGCTGTATATAAATGAATAAAAGGACAATTCTGGTTAGTTGACGGATGCCTCTTACTTCAGAAAATAAATGATTGCAGAAAGAATGAAAGTAATACATAAAAGCTTTCTTCAATGTACAATGTGAGGATTGGTACCCATTCAGTCACTCTTTTGGATTGTGTGGCCTTAATAAATGTAATAAAATTAATAAGCAGATAACTTGATTAGAGGACTGGGATAGAGCAGCTGGGTCACACTATCAGAACTTTAGAAGGGGCCATTGTTCCATGGTAGAATGTATGCTTTGCAATCTCTCTCAGAGAACCACCAGCAATCAGAGTGAACAAATAATAATAATAATAATAATAATAATAATAATAGTAATAGTAATAGTAATAATAATAATAGAGTTGGAAGGGACCTTGGAGTGTTCTAGTCCAACCCCCTGCTCAGGCAGGAAACCCTATACCATTTCAGACAAACGGTATAACTGTGGTATAAAGCAAATTATTCCGTTCTTATTTTCAACTATAAAAAAGATGGTTGTCTTTCATGTATGGTAAGATGGTTTTGATGAAGCTCAAAAATTTCATCCTGACTTGTACAATAGCTATAGTAATAGCAGCAAAATAAGGTCAACTCTGAATGAAGCAGGATGGCCTGGAAATCTTGTTTTTTTTCTAAAAGAATGAGCAAGAAGTGACTCAGGTTTGACACTAGATGGCAATATGCTCTTATTATACAAAATTTGATATTTAGGTTGTAAACCTATACCTTGGGTAAAAACAGGATTCTACTTTCCATTCCATTTTCACATTACAATTTAAAAAACAACAACCCGATTTCACTGTAAAAGTAGCAGTGGGAGCAGGAGGAAATATCAGAAGAATTCCCACTTCTGAGGGGTCCTTGGTGCTCTTCTGAGCTTGGTTGTTTTCTTGCAGACCTTTCATTACTGAAAGTAGGTTACATCATCACTATTAGTCTATGCTAGCACTGATGATATTGCCTAGTTTGGGTAATGAAACGTTTGCAAGAAAACAACCAAGCTCAGAGAGCACCAAGGACCCCTTATTTCAACCCTATAATTCCCACTTCTTTTTAACCCTTTGTGTAAAAAGCAATTGCTCCTAGACTGCACAGAAAAAATATTTTTTAAAAAAATTGAAATCCCCATTTCACCTTATGATCTTTATGAATTAGAGTTGACATTGTGATCATAATTTCATCACAGTGCATATTAACTCTTCCATTAACCTCAGTGTCAACACTGAAGGCAAAGAAAGGCTATGACTTTAGGTTTTTTTCTTTTATTTTTTATGTTTTATTGTCATTTATTTGTTTTATTGTTGTGAGCTGCCCAGAGTTGGGCAGCATACAAGTTTAATAAATCAATATTATTATTATTTACTCTGAGTAAGAATGAGTATAGACCCCATTGCCCAGATAGTTTAGATAACATCAATGTTTTTACCATATAGTACTGGTGTTTTTTAATTCAATTATATCCTTTTAGTCATATAGTTAAGCCACTTTGCCCAAGTTCAGCCTGTAGGATATAAATAGATGGCTAAGTAAATGTGCATTTCTTTGCAAATGTGTCAGCCTTTGTAAATCTTTGTAAATCTATATATTAATATCTACCCACTTTGCATCCCAACTAGTTAACTGTGTATCATTGGAGAAAACTAAGAACCAGGTTATTTACTAGCTTGCATTAGACCTCAAGAAGATACTACATCTAAATTGATTGCTAATAGATTTCTTATATAATTCAAAGTAACTTTAAAGTATTCATCAACTGGCATCAGTCTGTCCGATATATATTGTTTTCTTCTTCTTTTGTTCATTTGTGTCTGATTCTTGGAGATCGTCTGGATATGTCCTGCAGTTTTCTTGCCAAGGTTTTTCAGAACTGGTTTGCCACTGCCTCTTTTCTAGGATTGAGAGAAAGTGGCTGGCCCAAGATTATCCAACTTCCTTTACGCCTAAGGCGAGACTAAAATTCATGGTCTCCTGGTTTCTAGCCTGATGCCTTAGCCACTAGACCAACTGATTCTCATCCAGTATCTTACCCTAAGAGAAACTTGATGTTTCCTCATTTTCATGAAATAAGGGAGACTCAGACCAGGAGGCTCCTCCATTACAATCCCGATATTGTGGAACAGCCTGCTCCATTCTTGATCAGATTCTGGAAGATGATAAAGATAAAGCTCTTTCACTGAACTTTCAGGGGCCTAGAAGATGTTGTTGCCTGTTGTATTACAATGATCTGGCTTTTATTTATGGTTTTAATTATTATTATTATTGTAGATGTTTTCATTTAATTACTTAATTATTAATTTATTGTGGATGTTTTATTGTATTGTTCTGTTGCTAAACACCAGGAGTTGTTCTGAAATATGGCTGCATACAAGATTGAACAAGCAAGCAAGAAGAAAAACATTGCCTTGATTATTTCGATGGGGGGAAGGGGGGGAAATTGTAGTTGATGGTTGTAGAAGAGTGCAAAATATTGGCAAAAAAAGTAGCAAAACTATATGCTAGTGGGTTTCTCAGCATGCAGTTGCAGCTCTCTTTGAAGTGTAAATGCTCCATAGTCACAGGTTTCCATTACAGTAAATAGACGCCAATGAATGCCAGATTTACACCTCTGAACAAATTCATTTGACTCTCCCTTGGTACAGCTGAATTATAAATCAAATTGGATAAAGATAATTATATTTGCAGAGCTATCAATCACGCTTGATTTCTTCAAGTGTTTGGGGCACCATGGTTGCCTGAACAGAAATAGGGAACAAGACCAATCTTCATCTTCTAGAGAACCTTTCTCCATAGTTAGGGAACAATTAAGTACCTGGAAGTGTGATGTCAATCTCTAAAATGTAAATGTATTTTGAGACTTGATCCAAGAATCTTTGCAAGATAACAGCTATAGAAAGCAAAGTTTGCAATGAACTAAAAGGCTGGGCCAGAGCTGGATAGAGCAATGAAAAAAAAATGTAGCCAGGAGAATAAATCTAGAGATGGTGAACTCAAGCAGCATCTGAGTTAAAAAGCTGGTTCAGGGATGTCAGGAGACATATGGAGAAAGAAGGTGGAGGCCTGTTAACAGAACGAGTGGGCAGAGATGCTTGGAAGCCTTCAGTAAAAAAGCAAAGTCCTAATCTGACTCAGGAATGGGTATAGCAACATGAAGTCTGAAGGAATAAAGGGATGTCTGGAGGAGAACAGGAAGCACACTGGAAGAATGACATAGCCACTTTAGTTTTACTACTCTTCAGCATTGGATGGTCCACTATAAAGTGGAAGGAACCATTGCACAAATTGAAGTTGGTCATGGCCCAAATATTTGTTTGAAAATTCACCATGTTTGTCAGGAGAAACACTAGATGAATACATTCTCCAATAATATCTCACACAAAGTAAGAGTTACCTCTAAGTGTAGATAATAGCACCACTATAAAAAACAGAACTATGATAAATATTCACTCATGATGTGATTCCCTGGAGTTTAATTACAATTAATGATAGAGCAGAAGGCCTGTCCCTACCTGAACCTAACCATGGCATCAGCATGCCCTGGCAACATTTTTTCCATGTTGCCATTATCTCATCTCCAGTCTATGAATGAGACAGAGTTAAGTCATCTTTAGCTGCCTCAGGATTGAAGCAGTCTCCTCTCTTATTCTGATATCCTCTAAGAGCAAAATTAAGGGTTTTGAAACCTGAAGTCAAACGATTGAAGTGATCTGAAATAAGCAAAAAGAGGTATGAGAGGAACTGGCAGTAGAAACAGCAAAGTTCACATTGAGTTTTTTGCCAGCTCAAAGATGAATGGAGAATATTTTAATTAGAGAAAAATATAATTGTTAACCATCTTGTGACTAAATGCAAGAATACCTTATTCCATCCCCAAGAATTTCTGTATAATGTTATTATCTGAATGAATTTCTAGCACTTCTCTTTTGTCAGACTGAATGGGATTTATTAGAAACAAATACAGAATAACTTCTTTTCCAGCCACAATCAGAAGTGCCCTCATTTATATCTGGGCCAGCCCTGACATGGAAAACAGTTGGCAGAATGAGCTCAAACCCAAACTAGTTATGTCCAGGTGAACAGAGCAGGCAAGAACAGATTTTAAAGCATGGCGGGTATGTA